TTTTTAGTTCTCGAGTATGATTACACGTTGTTTTTTTTTTAATTTATTCCTCCCGATCGCATCCCCTGCTATTTTCGCGGGGGTTGGTGCGCTAGCTTTTAAAAGTGGTGCGCTAGCCTGCGCTAGATATCCTCTATCTGCGCTAGCTTTTTGAGCAAAAAAATTCAACTGGGGGGGGGGGGGGGGGGGGGGCAGCTTAACTGAGCCTTTTTGATCGCGTCATGAATTTCGAATTATTTGGTTTTCAATTGAAGATTTTGGACACCAGAGACAAGATATTATATTTTTTTCCTAATTGCATCATTTATTAGGGTGATTGTTATTGTGTTTTATTATTTATTCCATATTTAATTCAATGTGCAAGTTCCCTATTAACCAGGTTAGTCCTGGGTACTGGTTGCGGTTAAGGTGGTCAAACCAATCTTAAGGTTCAAATTCACAGTCCGGAAGGATTGTGTAACCGTCCAACTAAAAGGCTTAGGCTTGGTAGTGATAGCCTTATGTCGTATTACATCTGTGTATTTTTCCGTGTATTTATTCATGTAGTTCGGGGTAACAATCGAAAAGCTTCAAATGCAACATGAATCAGCATTATGAAAAAAAATTAAAAAAAAATGGCACCCTGAACTGCATGAATAAATACACAAATGTAATACAAACATTACAGTTACAATCTCGGTTACAATTGAACGTGTATTGTTGTGTTACAATGTAGCTGTAGCCGTGAGTGGAAAACCCTAAGAGAAAAATTGTTATAACACACTGTATTTTTAACTTAACTTTAACCATAGCCAGGCACTTATTAATATCAAATTTACTTGGTAAAACTATAGCTCTTGAAAACTATTGCATTAGGAAAATTGAATTATAACATGTATCTATGATAATAATTAAACAAATTAGGCAAAATCAGATAAAGCCTTAATAGAAAAGAAAATGTGACTCGAGTTTGCAAAGAAAATTTGAGGTTATTAGATTATGTCTCACCAGTTGGAATAGGGTTTTATTTGCCACAAAAATACTCTTCTCCGCTGGATTAGTCGGGACTCGAGATCCTAGATAGAATATGGTCGTTTATAGGGCAGCTTTCCACTAATGATCAAATAGAGAAAGTCAGAATTCCTTGTGGGAAAAAAACGTGCGAAGCAAAACTTACCGAAATGGTTTTCAAAAATCCGAAATCATCGGCAAAATTATGGCACTTCACGAAAAAGTAACGCAACGTAAGGCATGTCAATGTACCATAACTTATTAGTGAGAAAATTAGGTCCAAAAACCACTTAGGGCGAAGACAAAAATTAATTTCTTCAAGAGAGACCCTTTTCTCAGAACAACCAAATCGTAAAGGGAAAGGTTCACCACAAAGAATTAATTAGCTAGATTTGGAGAATTGAGGCATAATACGAATAGATATTATCCGTTCACAATCTGATGTCCACAGGTACAGGTACCTACAATTTATCACCTTTCAATGCTATTTGATAGGGAAAGGTGATAAATTTACCTGCATCTGTGGACATCGGATTGTGATCAGGATATATCTATATTATTGATATATATATAAATATCTAAAGGAATTTTGAATGGAAAACTAAAAATAAGTGTGAAATAGCTAAAGGCAATTTTGGCACATTACAAGTAATACCTGTAATGTAACCTCAGGTAATATTACCTGAAAAGGTTACAGGTCATTACAGGTATACGCGTCAGAAAAATGGTTGATGCATAGAGGTTGGTGCTTCTTTATAAAGATATCAAGTCCCGTCAAAGATCATAAATCAAAGATTTAATTGAAAGTAGATTAAAGAATTGCAATCTGAAATTATGGCTGCAAATCTGACAGAAACAGAACGAAATCAAGTTTTGACAAGCTTGAACAATATGACCTTTATTTTTTAAAATAAAATTAATTGTTTGAAAATTGATTTGCGAATCCGCTATAAGTGAAATTTCCCGTATATGATTAACGTTCGTTGAACTACCAAAATCAGCTGCTTCAGTCTTGTCAATCGCCAAAAAAAATATCCATGAATACATGATTTTTACATGCTCCATCTTCATGGTTGTAGTTAAGATTGATCAATATGAAACTGACGAAATCAGGTATTTAAAGTGTCAGAGAGAAAATACTTATACTGATTGTAAAGTCTCAATCCACCATCGGTGTATTTATTGGTCATTGTGCAACTCTCGAAATCAGCAGTTTTATTAATTGTAAAAAAGTAATACCTATTGTCCGTCGTTTTTAATCTGACACTTTCCGTATGAGGAGCGAGGGGGTGAAGCATATGGCAAAAACAGGTGTGACATCAGGTGACCATTGGCGTTCTAGCGTAGGGAGCCACCAGCTCACATTCCTTTGGAGTATCAGCTTAAAATCGTCTGACCGTACCTACCTGATTTTTAAATGCACCGCTGAAGCAACTATATCTAAACCATAAAAAAAAAAATTAATGAGATATAAGCTTCAGTATTTTTCAGTTACAATTTTAACTGTTTATAGTCAGGTGTCTCTTGTTCGATTTTTTTTTCTATTTTTAATTTTGGTAATGTACTTACGCCTAGCCTTCTACTCAACACTCTCCAACTCACAAATAAAATTGAAATCTTAACTTTAAAAAAAAAAACAAAACTATAAACTTTATACAGGGTGGCCAATTGAAAACGAAACAGAGGTGATTTTGGGCTCCTCAAGAGATTTAAGAAAAAATCCTCGAACCCGTCGATTTTTGATTTGAGGGGGAACCATTTTTTTGGCATTTTCACCACCTGGGGGGGCAAAGCCAAAATTTTAAATGGAATGAGTGGTCGAGTGATACCTTATTTTGAAGCAATTTTTATGTAGATTATAACCCCTGAGTTTCACATCGCTACTATTTACCTAGCCATTACAGGGGCTAATTAAAGCTACAAAAACATGTTAGGATATTTTGTATTTGAAAAAATGCTTTAAAACCAAAATCAATCAAGTAAATGCTGAAAATGACCCCAGAAAAAAAATCTAACGGGCTTAAATCTGGAGAACGTGGGGGCCACTCAATAGCTCGTCTCCTTCGAATCGATTGTCCTGGAAACGTTTGGTCCAAATATTGACAAATCACTGCAGCATAATGGGGTGGCGCACCATCTTGTTGAAATATTAGACGGTTTCCCATGTATCCGTTATCATTCTCTAGTATCTCCACCAATTCTGGATGAATCGCATCTTCTAACCACTCTGGGTACATTTCTCCTGTTAAATTTATAGGTAAAAGAGGGACCACGGGTACCAAAAATACTAGCTCAAACGCTCAAGTAATCTACATTTCCATAACGTCCTAGGACGTTATTTCGCACGTATTATACCTGGAAATACAGGGCTTCCATTTCAAAAATTGCCACCCACGTTATCTGCGTAAAGAGGCATATTTGCCGAAATCGCCAAAACCCGTCAACTGTATTGAAGGGGAAGGGTTTTTACGTAAAACTGGACTTCGCCCCTTCAACCCTCTAAGCCCTTGGGCTACCTTCCCAAAATGTTTGAATAAAACAGGGGGTCGAGTTAGTGTTTCATTCAAAAATTTTGGGAAGGTAGCCCTAGGGCTTAGAGGGTTGGAGGGGCGAAGTCCAGTTTTACGTGAAAAACCTTCCCCCTCAATAAATTTGTTGACGTGTTTTGGCAATTTCCGCAAATATGCCTCTTTACGCAGATAACGTGGGTGGCAAGTTTTGAAATGAAAGCCCTGTACTTCCAGGTATAATACGTGCGAAATAACGTTCTAGGGCGTTATGGAGATGTAGATTATTTGAGTGTATGGGCTAGCATTTTTGGTACTGTACTGTACCCCTCTTTTACCTATAAATTTAACAGGAGAAATGTACCTCGAGTGGTCAGAAGATGCGATTCATGCAAAATTGGAAGAGATACTAGAGAATGATAACGGATACATGGAAAACCGTCTAATACTCCAACAAGATGGTGCTCCACCCCACTATGCTGCAGTGGTTCGTCAATATTTGGACCAAATGTTTTCAGGACAATCGATTCGAAGGAGAGGAGCTATTGAGTGACCCCCAGGTTCTCCAGATTTAAGCCCATTAGATTTTTTTTTTCTGGGGTCATTTCCAGCATTTACTTGATTGATTTTGGTTTTAAAGCATTTTTTCAAATACAAAATATCCCAACATGTTTTTGTAGCTTTAATTAGTCCTTGTAATGGCTAGGTAAATAGTAGCGATGTGAAACTTAGGGGTTATAATCTACATAAAAATAGTTTCAAAATAAGGTATCACTCGACCCCTCATTCCATTCAAAATTTTGGGGGCCCTTGTCACCCTAGCTTTGCCCCCCAGGTGGTGAAAATGGCAAAAAAATGGTTCCCCCTTAAATAAAAAATCGACGGGTTCGAGGGTTTTTTCTTAAATCTCTTGAGGAACCCAAAATCACCTCTGTTTCGTTTTCAAATGGCCACCCTATACCATCCATCTATAACTTTATTCAGTGTAAAAATTACAGAAAAGTCGTAATTTCGTGTCATAACATTATATTGAAAGAGAAAGTCGCAGACTGTTGGCAAATAAAATAATCAGCAACTTGTATAGAACCACAGAGAAAACACCACTTGAAGATAACTTTCAAAAGAAATCGACCAAGTAAAACTCGAGAAAATTTAATTAGAAGTTATACTATGCCCCAAACAAGTTACACTCAAAACTTATTTCATTAAACTCGGGGTATTTTAGTGTTAGTCGAGCGATTTATAATATTGCATCAAGGAGGTAGTCCTCACAACAGGGTATCAATCAATGACAACATTATACCCTCATCATTTCCTTTTTCGCTGATGTCTCTAATTTGATTAATATTACTTTTCCTGTTACAAGAAGAAACCTCAAAGTGGTTAGTGAAAAGTTTGTTAATTAGTTTAATTCGATTAAATTGAAGTTGTGTTTTTTGCGGAATTATTTGATTATTATAAATTTTGACTGACTCATATTAAGCCCTAATTTTCATTTTGCAGTGCATTTGTTGAGCACCCGCGATCAAATGGAAATCGCTCCGGTGCTCGGGATCCTGGTGGGCATTGTGACTGCTTTATTGCTTATCACTGTCATAATTTTGGGAATCCTCAAAATCCGACAGTTAAGAAGAGATGGCGGCGGAGGCTCAAGAGCTTTGAGGCCTCGTTTTCTGGCAGTCAAGGATAAAGTTACGTTGCCTCTGCGATCCGAATCTGAGGATTTGTTCGAGAAGGACGAGAAAAATCCGGACGTTGTACCGTCAAATAAAGGTTGGTGAAATGGCTTTATGAATATGTTACATGCTGCATGACTTCTTGCAGTAAGTCGCAAATGCAGAATTCTTTATTGGAGATGCTTTGACATTTGCTGGGTTTGCATGTGCTTTACATTTTCTATAGTATAGGTACGAGTTAATTGATCGAATGTAAATGTTCAAAGCTGGACCTTATTTTTTTTGAGTTGCGAAATGTTGTACATACTATGATGAGTAGGGTAGAGTGGGGCAGGCTCGGACGGATTTGGTTAAGGTGCTACCAAACTTTTATTTTAGCTAAACTAAATGTTCTAGAAATGCAAATATATTGCTTCATATATTTTTAAACCAATGCCATAGCAATTTCAGAAAAAAATTGCCCGTTTTTCGTGAAAATTAAAATAAAAAAAAGTTGCCATTTGTCCGAAGGTGCCCCACGGTGGGGCAGTTCTGGACACGCCAGGGGTAACTCCGGACATATACTTTATAAACAATTTATTTTTTGACAGGTATATTTTTAATAATTTAGCATCTATCTAAACATCAGACTATAAGTCTTAGGAACTACAAACATACAATTTACGTTGAATTTTGAAAATTTAGCCATGCGAGCATTCCCAGCATGAGAAGTTGAAATTCCGAATGTGCCCCACCCTGTACTGTCCGTATGTGCCCAACATGTACAAAATGTAAAAAAAAAACTAAAAAAACTGAAAATCATGTCTCATGGATTCTTGAAATATAAGTTATGTGGTGTAAACTATCATACTTTGTACGTATACCCCTTTAAAACTTAAAAACTACATCACCAAATCGTGCAAAACCTTACGAGTAGAGAACTTGGTTGGGGTGACTATTTATGTATTTCTGGTGATCACTCCCAAATTTCTCAAGATACCGGCACATAATTTTGTCTGGCGTTATAGAGCAAGTACTGGTACCAACTGTTAAAATGCCGAAACGCGTTTAGTTTTGGAAGGCGGTAAATTCAAAATGTCCAGGGGTGCCCCATGTCCGAACCTGCCCCCTGCCCCACTCTACCCTACCTAGAATTTCAAGGAGATCCTCTGCCTAAATTGTAACCAGTTTGGCAGGTTTACATAGAATAACGGCTTACAGTACTTCATTGAATAGAAATGCACGTACCTATCATTTATCATTTATTTATTTAAAACTTTTTCTACAGGCGTGCGTTTTTGTCCACTTTCCCGCACGCATTTTAATTCGGAAACTATCTTTTTCCCGCACGGTGCGGGAAATTTTATCTGCTTGCCCGAACTCCGCTTCGCGTCGTTCGGGCATCGGCAGTTCGCGTGCGGGAAAGTATAACTTTCCGCACTTGTTAGGATAATAACTATTACAAACACCAGGCTAGTTATAACCTACATGTAATAGTATATAACATGCGGAGGTGGAAAGTGTTTCATTATTGTCGAGAGATACTACTGACCGAATTACGTATACCTACTATTTTATTTTGAACCATCAATTATTGAAAAAAATAAGGTAAAAATATGACAAAAAATGGAATTCGACTGAGAGTCTGACACCGACATTGACATCCTATGAAATTTCAACAATATAAACACTTGTGACATCTACTTCTAAATACAAACATTGCTCCTGGATTTGTGTTAAGGTTAAGGTGTGAAAGAACACTATATCAGGGCCGAAAGTAAATTATCCAGGCCGAAAGTGACAGGAGAACAGTCTCTTTCGGCCTGCTTTAAAGTAAGCAAAAGTAAGTGTACACATCCAGTGCAAGCAGGTTTCCGCTTACCAGTAACCAGCGCCGACTCGCGATTATAAGCGCGAAAAATGAATACATATTTTTATTTACGACTGACATATAATGTAGGTATTATATTTGTAATTTTGGCAGTTTAATGTCATATATTATTCCCGCAGGGATTAATGGTCATTATTCCCGCTTGCACACCAATCACAAAATTCCTCGAATTAAATAATTAGTACCATGGAAACAGTATACCTGAACAAATTCAAAAGTGTCAGTGTCAAACGCGTAGTGCTTGTGTATTTGTATTGAGATGAATGAGATGGATGAACAAAGAGCGTTTTTGGAAAGAAAGTTTCAAATAAATTAATTTGTCGTAAATAAAGTAGAGTATACTACTCGCAATATTGGCTATTATTCCCTCGGAATGTTACTCCCTCGCCGCTAACGCGGCTCAGTTCGTAAATATTTCTCGGGAATAATAGCTATCCTTATTGACTCGTGGTATAATCTACTATTATTTACGACTGGCATATAATGTAAGTATTATATTTGTGATTTTGGCAGTATAATGCCATATATTATTCCCGCAAGGATTAATGGTCATTATTCCCGCTTGCACACTAATCACAAAATTTCTCAAATTAAATAAGTAGTACTATTATGGAAACAATAGACCTGAACAAACTCAAAAGTGTCAGTGTCAAACGCGTAGTGCTTGTGTATTTGTATTGAGGTGGATAAACAAAGAGCGTTTTTGGAAAGGAAATTTCAAATAAATTAATTTGTCGTAAATAAAGTAGAGTATACTACTCGCAATAATGGCTATTATTCCCTCGGAATGTTACTCCCTCGCCGCTAACGCGGCACAGTTCGTAAATATTCCTCGGGAATGATAGCTATCATTATTGACTCGTGGTATAATCTACTATTACATTACCAGTGTATTTATGAACATGATTACAATAACGAGTGTCAGTGTTCTAATCACACAAGCTTTGTAGTCATGTTTAAACCAGGCCTGGATTAAGGGGGGTTCTACCGGTTCTATAGAACCGGGCCCAACGTTCCAAGGGGCCCTTGCAAGATCGAAGATTAGGCAAAAAAATTTAAACTTGAATTTACCAGAAACATTGCCAAAATTCCCCCAAAAGCTGGCTTGACCTCTATAATGTCAGTGGTGGCAATAGAGTATTTCATTTTTGAATGGTTTCAGAATATCAGCCATGTTTTGTCGAAAGTTATCTGTGTTTATTATTTGATCCAATGGATTTTTATGAAATTTTGTGGTAATATATTTTTGTCTTTGTTATCTGTTCCTGCTATCCACTATTTTTTGATAAATAAATAACATTAAGGCCCAGTTTCACAAATTGTAGTAAACTACTAGTTATGAGGTAACTACTAGTTAAAGCGAAAACAGCGTTTCACAATTGACAGTTCAACATGACACCTTTAGCTAATCAGTAGTTGAATTAACCCAAGGATCCGTATGAGTTAACCATGAGCTAGCTGAAATGCTTTGTTTTTTAGGGCAGTTCAAAAGTGTCAAGTTTGAAAAGGTAAAATTATTGGGTGGTATGAATAAAAACGAAGTACTTGCTACTGCTAGAAGTATTAGTATGTTCTACGTAGTATTTACTTCAAAACGAAGTAGATACTACATTTCGAAACGAACAAAATGTAGTATCTACTTTGTTTTGAAGTAAATACTACGTAGAACATACTAATACTTGTAGTAGTAGCAAGTACTTCGTTTTTATTCATACCACCCATTGAATGAAAACTTTTGCATTTCTTTTTCCGTTAGTGATACAATTGGAATTAAAATCTGCTCCCACCCTCCTCCAAGTATTTTCTTTTTTTTGTCCCCGTCGCTGCGTCGCTTTGTTTACATTCTATAATGAACTTATATATTTTTATGTCCGATTGACCAATAAAGTGCTATTTATAGAACAGTTTTGCGTCAATAAAGTAGCACTTTATTGTACTAGTAAAATAAAGTGCTACTTTATTTTACTAGTAAAATAAAGTGCTACTTTATTGCCTACCTGGACTACCTGACAAGGTAAAACTGGTCCTGACAACCTGCCAAGGTGAAACAGGTATACCTACGCGAATTTTACTTTTTTCATTAAATTTTTTAAATTTTCAACAAAAATCGTCGCAATCGTACATAAAATCATGTATATAACGCTTACATAAACAGGCTTTATTGACTCATTATTTAATAGCCTCGCTCGCAAGCTCGCTCGGCCATAAAATTATTCGTACAATAAAGCCTTACTTTATGTACTTGTTATATAAATAGCTATTGCACGAGAGACACTTATAAATACTTATTTTTATTCCTTAGAAAAACTTGCAGACCTTATCTCACTTGACACCATGATTCAAATTTAAACAGGAAACGCTACACAAAAACCAATGAATAGGTATTTGTGAAATTTTACTGCCACTGACAAAAATTAATATAATTATCAATATGACATATCACAAAAAAAAGTGACGTTATAGTGAAGTTTAAAGGGGCCTTTGTCTATTTTTCATGGTGGTTTTTAAAATTTTTTCAAAAAATCAAGTACCAACCTTTGAGAAATAAAATTCAACCACTAGCCATTTAACCAACGATTGTTTGTTTAGTGTGAAACATGTTAATGAGCGAATTCCCAGTTAAACCCTGACCCCTAGTTGACTGACCAGCACTGGTTACTACCGATTGTGAAACTGGGCCTAACTTGTGTTTAGTGCTGTAGTGCAGCAAATCTCGGAATATAAGCTCCTGTGTGGGGAGTAACGGTTTGTTTACATACAAAATTTCTAGAACTAAAATTGTCTAGTCTCATAAAATGATAGAATAAGATATTAAAATGATATAATATGCACAGGGTCTGTTCCTAAATAAAACCCTACTAAGTTGAGTTATTGGCTGGTAGGTACCAGCCGTATGCAACATCCTCTTCTAACTTAAAAACGCTTTTTAAAACTGGTCACTTTTAAAAATTTGTATTGCTTAAAATAATTTTTTTTAAAAGTGACCAGTTTTAAAAAGCGCTTTTGAGTTGAGAGAGGATGTTGCATATGGCTGTAGTACTACTTTTGTATTTAACTTTTTTTTTCCGTTTTTTTTTTTGTTTAAGTTGTAGAAGCCCCACTAATTATAAGGAACATACCCTGTACCAAATCCTGTACAAATACCCATAAATAAAGCAATAAATATGCATACCTATCCAATAAAGAACAAATACATTATTAGATGAGTTCGACAAAACATGGCGGAT